ATCAGACCTTGAACCATGGTGACTCCAGTAAGGCCACCTTACCTAGCACCCCTTCCCTGCACTGTGGGCTGAAAGGGGTTGGGAGAGGGGAGCCCTGGATGAGGTTGTGTAGTCAATTGAGAATTATGAGGTTCTGTGCTAGCAACTTAAAAGCTATTTATAGTTTGCACTCTGAGCTTCCCTTACACATACCAGGGGCCCAGTCTCTGGAGGAGAAAATGCCCCTGTCTGGATCCCCTGCTTGGTAGCAGCAAAATGCAAGCCTAGACAAGTAGTTCTGGGAAAATGAGAGTAGAGGGTGAGTTCTATTTGCAGCTTATCTAAAGGAGGCTGTTTTCATCATAAACACATCCTGGGAAATCTTAGAAAGGAAAGTGCTTGCTGAGTCCACTTTGAATGATTTCTTTGTCAAGGCCAAACTGGCCAAGTAACATCTTGTGAGTAAAAGAGGCAGAGCAACAATGCTTTGTCCCTCTTAACACTAAGGTGGGACCGTGGTTATCCATTCCTCCATGCAGATAAGCAAAGTGAAGCTCTTGGAAGTTAAGCCACTTGTCCAGCATTGGAATAGAATTGAGAACTCAGAAATAGATTCATTGACCTATGGGCAGCTGATCTTTGACAACTGGCCCAAATCCATTAACTGGGGAAGAGATAGTCTCTTTAACAAACGGTGCTTGCAAAATTGGTTATCTATTTGCAGAAAAATGAAACAAGATCCATACCTCACACCATACACAAAAACTAACTCCAGATGGATCAAAGACTTAAATGTGAAACCTAAAACTAGTTAATCAAGGAAAAAATAGGGGCAAGCTTAAGAGCCCTAGTTTATGGCATAAATAGATTATCAAGCATAAGCCAAAATGTACAAACAGCAGAAGATAAACTAGATGATTGGAACCTTCCAAAAATTAAAATTTTATGTGCTTCAAAAGACTTTTCCAAAAGCATAAAAAGAGAACCAACAGATTGGGAAAAAGTATTTGGCAATGGCACATCTACAAAGAGCTTACCTCTAGAATTTATAGAGAGCTCCAACACCTCAACATCAAAAGACAAACAATCCAACTAAAAAATAGCCAGAAGACATGAATAGACACTTCACCAAACAAGATATTCAGGTGGCCAAAAAACATAGATAAATATTCAGTATTATTAGTCATTGTTGTTGTTGTTGTTATATTAGTCATTGTTGTTGTTATGTGTCGTTGAATTGGCCCCGACTCATAGCGACCCCTCCTTGGGTTGCCGAGGCAGTATCACTATGGAAGTAGACTGCCCAACCTTCCTTCTGAGGAGTAGCTGGTGGGTTTGAACTGCCAGTCTTCTGGTTAGCAGTCAAGTGCCTTAGGCACTATGCTACCAGAGCTCCTATATTAGTCATTAGAGAAATGCAAATCAAAATGATACCATCCCACCCCAGTACTAATAGCAAAGTTCAACAACACAGAAAATAACAAATGCTGGTGAGGATGTGAAGAGATTGGGACTCTCATATACTGCTGGTGGGACTGTAAAATTATACAATCATGGTGGAAATCAGTATGGCAATTCTTTGTTGTTGTTGTTGTTATGTGCCGTCGAGTCGGGCAATTCTTTAAGAAGTCGAAAACAGAAATACCATTTGATCCAGCAATCCTCTTACTAAGCATATATCCTAAAGAAATGAGAGCCAGGACATGAACATATATATGCATGTTCATCACAGCACTATGCACAATAGCAAGGAGCTGGAAACAACTTAAATGCCCATCAACAGAAGAATGGATAAAACTATGGTACGTACACATGATGGAGTACTATGTAACATTAAAGAATAATGTAGAATCTGTGAAACACCATGTAACATGGATGAACTTGGAGGACTTTATGCTGAATGAGATAAATCAATCATAGGAGGACAAATATTGTATTAGTTCACTATTGTAAAATGTCAAGGAAAGGTTTATATATGGAAGGAAACTTTCTTTATTGGTTACCAGGGATGGGAGGGAAGGAGAGGGATGGGATCACTGCTAGATAGAGACAAGCATTGATTTGGTTGAAGAGGTCAATATACCAAAAGTGAGTCATCAACAGAGTGGCACTGAGGAAGAGGAAGACACAGATAGGTATACAAGAGATACAGACAACAAAGATAAACCCATTTACATATACAGTACTGCATTGTCAGTGATAACAAACATTAATCTATGGGTAAATAGATGGGTAGACAGGCTGAATGATCAGGTATATCACAGCAAAAGGGAATATACCCATGACCATATGTAAGGCTGGCAGACGATACGTCTACATACATATTTGTATGTAGTATAAGAATGTCCAAATACGTAATAGAGCTAACAAGGGGCACAGTTATGATAACTTCTTGGCCACAGCCAACCACCCTGAGGGACCGAGTAGTTGGGCTCAGGACCATGGTCACAGGGACTGTCAAGCTCAATTGGCATAACATGCCACACAAAAACATTGTTCTACATTCTATTTTGATGGGTAGTGACTGGGGTCTTAAAAGGTTGCAAGTGACCATCTAGATGCAACAATGGGTCTCTCCTCATCCAGAGCAAAGAAGAATGAGGAAAACCAAAGGCACATGGAAACAATTAGTACAAGGGACTAGTAGACCATTCAAACCTCAGCCTATATGACCATGAGACCAGAAGAACTAAATGGTGTCTGGCTACCGCTGCCAACCACTCAGAAAGGGATCAGTGCAGGAGATCCTGGATAGATTGGGAGAAGAATGTGGAACAATACTCAAAATCATAAAAAAAAGAAAAGAAAAAGACCAGGTTTTACTGGTCTGACAGAGCTTGGTGAGACCCCTGGGACTATGGCTTCTATTTACCCTTCAGGTTTGGAACTAAACTCACTCCTGTGGCTTCCAGCCAAACAACAGACAAATATATAGGGGGACACACACTCCTTAGATAAATCAATCATGGGAGAACAGAGGGGCAGAGTTTACACAGGGAGATAGCTGGAGGGGAGGGAAGGAATCATAGGAAAGAAGGACACAGGGAAGAGGTAACTACGGGGAGGAGGTGGGAAAAGAGCTGTTACATTGTGGGGGACTGCAGTCAACATCATGAAACAAAATGTGTATGAACTGTATGGAAAATGAATTTGCTTTGTAAACTTTCACCCAAATCACAATAAATTTTTTTAAAAAAATAAAGAAAAAGATTTACAGCCTTGGAAACCCAGTAGGGGTCCCTATGAGTCAGAATTAACTTGATGGCAGTGAGTTTGGTTAGGTTTGTTTTTCTCCTCTGTTTAATCTCTTTTTTATCTCAAAAGAGATTGATTCAAGATACACCTTACCCTAATCCTGCATCATTAACAAAGACAATTCATTCCCAAATGGGATTATAACCACAGGCATAGCACTAACGGTGTGGAGTGGGATCTGACTCATAGCAACCCTGCCTTGGGTTTCCAAGGCAGTATCTCTACAGAAGTAGATTGCCCAACTTTCCTTCCGAGGAGTGGCTGGTGGGTTTGAACCGCCAGCCTTCTGGTTAGCAGTCAAATGCCTTAGGCACTAAGCCACCAGAGCTCCTAACCACAGGCATAGAGGTCAGGATTCACAACACATATTTTGGGGGAACATAATTCAATCCACAATAGCTTTCCTGCCTGAAGGGGGCACCAAAATTACCCAAAAGTAATTAATACAATCTTCCATCTGGGAATGCTCCCAGATCCTATTCCATGTGCTCAACCCTCTGTCAGGAGTTGTGGGAAACAGAAATGGAATGAAAAACCTTTTCCTTCAGAAAGCTTATAAAGCAATAGGGTTTAAATCATGGAGTGTTCACATCCCAGATCTGGAATGAGGTCAGGGCCAGCACCTGAACCCAGATCTTCGGGGCTCTCAGACCAGCATCACTCCCCTCAATGTCAGGAAGACTCCCAGTAATAATACTTGGAAAGTACTTTATGGTCTACAGAGTGTTTTTCCAGATAATGAAACTGAGGCTTAGGGAGTTGAAGTCACTTGCTGCAGTGTAGTAAATTACCTGGCATGGCTTTTCTAGCCATAAGTCTTTGTAAACTCCGCGGTGGAATCGGCCATGAGCAACCAAGTAGAACCTGATTGTTAGTTATCCACCTGGGGTATTTCTGTGGGGAGCAGCACAAAGTAATTTTCTGGGAAGTTTGCTGACTCTCACATGTAGGGAATTCTGATGTTGGGATTGGTTAGTTTGGCCACTCTGCCAAACTCAAAAAGAGGCCTCCTAGAGGCTGAAGGGGGTCTCTCTGACTGCTGGCTGAGAAAGACATGCTGTTGAGAGAAACACTCCTGAGAGACACATGCTGCTGAGAAAGAGACACCAAGAGACACGCATTGCTAGGAGAGAGACTCAGAGAGACTGCTGGCTGAGAGATGATGGGCTGGGAGAGAGACTGAGCATTTTCCCTGAACTTGAATTGTAGCCTGGTAGTTCCCTAATAAACTTCATAATCTATGAGTTCTGTGTGGCCACTGCAGCAAATTATTGAACCCAACAGAGAGGTGGTGGGTGCTGCGGAAGGAGTGGTTGGTGTCAGGGCTGGAGGGAGGCAGCATGTCTGGCCTCAAAGGGATAGGCCTTGGGCTACAGATGGTGATTCTGTCTTCCTCTTGTGGGGTCAGAGGAGGTCAGAAGATACTGCCTCCCTGCCCCTTTGGCACTTGCCCAAAGGCCATGAAGTGGCATGTGGCAGAGCTGGGGGTCTCCCAATTCCAGATGCCATATCCTCTTCTGTACCTTCCTTCTTTCCTTACTTTATCTAAAGATAAGTCCATGCAGGAACAAAATTCCTTGGGCACAGCAGGTAAGCATGGTGAGAAGAATAACAAAAGGACTTCATGCCTTGCTACTAAAGACTCACACAGATGAAGGGGACCATCTTCCTCCTTGTCCTTCACACTCTTACCTCACCTCAGCCTCCCCCACCTCACCCCAGCAGCCACCACCACCATTCCCCTCTGAAAAAAAAAAGTCACTTACATATTCTTTAATGTCCTTTGACTTCACAGCCTTGTAGGAATAATACGCAGGGTAAAGGGTGCCAAATATAAGCCTGGAGGGAAGAGAGAGAGAGAAAAAAAAAAAGAGAGAAACGTGATTTTCAGGCATCCTAATTTGATGGAAATGTCTGTCTTGATGCCTGAAGCATCTCTCCAAGCTACAGAAAATGCTGCTGTGGGTTTGATTTATTCATATGAATGCCCTGAGGGTTTTCTGCTCACAGCTTGGGTGTGCTTGGGAACCTCTATCTCCTGTTACAACTGTATACCCATCTTCCTTCAATCGGTGGTTTGGCAAGACAGGAGGGTGGTTTCGGCCACAGAAGCCAAAAATGGGGGGATAAGCAGCCAAGACCCATGAAGTTAAAGGCCAATTTTCCTCTCCTGGTGCTAATGCCCACCTGATGCTCTATAAAGCCCACCCACACCTTGGGCTTCCTTCCTTCTCCTTTTTCCCTGGAGATTCCTTCAGATTTCACTCTCCTCAGACTTGCCCTCATCATCCTACAGCCAGAATACCCATTACCAGCGAGTCAATCCAACTCACAGTGACCCACGTGTACAGAATAGAACTGCCCCACAAGGTTATCTTGGCTGTAATCTTTACAGTAGAAGTAGATCAGCAGGCCTTCTGTCTGTGGTGCTGCTAGGTGGGTTCGAACTGCCAGCCTTTAGGACTGATAGCAAATTGCTTGCACCACCCAGGGACCTCCTGGAGCCAGAATAAGCTTTTCCAACCGCAAATCCAATCAGGTCAACCCCTCTTCCTGCCACACTTTCCCATGCACTGCATTAACCTGCTTCTCGCTGCTCTTAAAATGGAGAAATGGAATTAACAACATCCTCCCAGAGTGACTGTTGGGTGGCAGTTTTTACTAGTCTATGTCCAGGGCTACACAGAGTCACTGAATAACTTGACTCTCAGCCCTTCCTCCAAGAACCTGTACGGTATGGCATAACTTGACCTGCTTTCATTCCTTCTACCTTATCTCCCAACTCATCCCCCATCATACCCCCACTCCTCACCCCCACATACATACAAGGCCTTTGCCCACGCTGTTCTCACCCTTTGGAATCTTCCCCTCCCTCTTCTTTGTCTGGTTAATGTCTGTTCACCCATTAAATTCCAGCTCCATTATTGTTTCCTCATGGAACCTTCCCTGACCTCCCCAACTAGGGTAAATCTCCCCACTACACTCTCATAGCACAATGTACATCAGCGTTGTCATTGTACTATTATTTGTGTGATACTTTGATTAAAGGCAAGTCTCCCTCACTGGACTGTAAGTACCTTGAAGGGGAGAAAGGGGACACGTTCTATCCAACACTGTGTTCCCAGCACCAACCACAAAGTAAGTTCCCTGGGTAGCTCAAACTGTTAAGCACTTATCTACTAGCCCAAAGTTGGCATTTAAAGCACACTACCTACTCCCTCCTGACAATGATAAATATATATATAACAAAACATTTGCTAATTCAACAATTTTTATGTGTGTAATTCAGTGACAGGAGTCTTGGTAACACTTGCTAAAGCACTCAACTGCTAACTAAAAGTTTGCCAGTTTGAACCCACCAGCTGTTCCTACAGAGAAAAATGTGGCAGTGTGCTACCATAAAATTCACAGCCTTGGAAACTCTATGGGGCAGTTCTACTCTGTCCTATAGGGTCACTATGAGTTGGAATTGATTCAATAGCAATGGGTCTGGATTTTTAATTCAGTGACATTGATTATATTCTCATATTGTACAGCACTGTCACTATGATTTTCTGAATTATTTCACTACCATTAACAAATTCTCAACTATTATTCTGAAATTGATGAATTGACAGAATGTCTGAGCTGGAGGTTTGATCTTTTCATCTGACTGATGAGGTCACCCAGGTATCAACTCAGTGTAAATTTATCCACGTGGTTGGGTACAGGAGCCACCATGGTTCAGAGCTCCATGCCCTATAGGAGACAGCCCCTCTTATAACAATCCTACACTCTAGGGTCCTGCAAGGAATCAGCCTTGCACCCCACACTCAAGGAAGCCCAGAACCATGGCTCTCCATTAGGCATTTAGAGGTCTTACATAGAACACCCAGGCCTGATGCAGTTCACCAATCAGGGTTCAGCATTGCCATGGGCCATAGACTGGGTAACATTCATCAGGTCTCCAGGGAAAAAGAGAAAGTTGATTGAACCAAGTCAGTTTCTGATGCTGAAGGAGAAAGGGTTTTGTTAACTCTACTCACACAAGCCTTGCACTAAGCACTTAGAGGCATTCTTTCACTTAATCCCCAGATTGATTCAATAAAGGGAACCTCTTTGACACATAAGTACACCAGTACACAGAGAAGTTAGCCACTTGCTGTTTAAGGTTCCATAACCATTAAGGGTAAAGTATGAGCTGGACCCAGCCAGGTCTGCCTGCCTCCAAGTCAGGTCCAAGGCCTTGGTGAGCAAGCCCAATCCTCAGGGAAGGGTGGAATTGTCATGTGTGAGGAGCAAGATAAGCCAGCAAGGGAGACAAAAGAGTAGTCTGAAAGGGAGAAAAAGAAAACCAGAACTGAGGATAAGAGGGAAGAAATTAAGCAGAGGAGAGAGTAGGTGACGGTGTGAAAGGCACCAGGGAGGTCAAGGAGGATGTGGCCGAAGGATGCCCGCTAGGTTTGGCAGGCGGTTACAGGTCACCTTTGTGAGACTAGGCTCCCAACTACTGTACCTTGCCTCTTTGCCTGCCCCCTTCCTAAGTGTTCTCCAGGTATCAGGGCAAGTCCTGCTTCCCCCATGAGGCCCTTCCTGACCTCCTACTCCAAGAAGATTGGGTTCCTCTCCATGTTCTACACTGCCACAAGTCCCTGTAATTTCTTCTTCCTCAGCCCTTATGCTGGACTCCCTCGGTGGTACAAATGGACTACTAGGAGAAAGGCTGGTGGTCTCAACCCACTGAGAGGTGCCCTGGAAGACAGGCCTGGCAATATGCTTCTGAAAGGTCATGGCCTTGAAAACCCTATGGAGCAGTTCCACTCTGCATACATGGGGCTGCCATGAGTCAGAGTCGACTGGACAGCATCCAACAAACATAACAGCTGTTATGGTACGGATCACACTTGCAAACATTTGTCTAATGTCTGTCTCTCCCACAAGATTACAACAAAGACGTTCATAACTGCATCCCCTGTGCCTAGCACAGTCTAGGTGCCCAATAAGTAGGTGCTGATTTTGTGAGATTTCAGAGTGGTGAAGCAAAAGTCAGAAAGATCCACGGGACACTCGTGACCTTGGGACGTTGGTCTCAGTAGAGAGGTGGGTGCCAGACAGCACTGGGGTGATTCAGCAAAGCCTTGGGCATGATGCCACCAGCTCCAGGGAAATAGGTAAGCTGCTGCTTTGTCTCAGATGCCCTGGTTTATATCCGCTTCTGCCAGGACATTTTCTAGCCCCAGCCCCAAGGCAGAGTACGAGTGGCAAGAGAGTCAGGTGGAAAGTGCATCATAATTCGACAGCCAACAGATGTGCTCCTCTGAGCACTCAATGGGCAGTGACACTGTCCCTGGAGCTGGGGAGCCTCCAGGGGCATGAGGACACGGAGGCCCACCCTAAGCCAGACCAGCTCTCCTGACATGAAGTGGTTTCTGGCACACCCCTATCTGGCCCCTATTTTGACAGCAGAGGATCCCATCAAAGACAAATTTGCTTTTCAGTCTCTCAAGCTCAGTAACTCTCTCTGTGATAGAGTACCTCAGCATTTCACTGCCTGGGGAAGAAGGAATGACATTAAAATAACCAGTTCCCCTTAGTCTGTTTATTTTACCAGAAAGAAATAATGAACGAAGCAGGTCCAAGCCAAAGGAGCTTTGGTGCTTATGTCCATTCCTACCAATGGTAACTGGAGCCTCAAGTGTTCTTATGGGGTCCTTATCCATTGGCTCCACCTACTTCCTTCCTTTCCAGCCTCATAGCTCAGCACTCCCTCAGCCTCCAGTTCACACAACCAGCAGGTGGCCCCCAACAAGTCCTGCTTGCTTGCACTCTGTGAATACTTGGCTACTATTTCTTCTGCCTGAATCGTAGTCATGCCCTTCCCTCCAACACCACCATCTTCTTTTTTTTCCTTATAAAATCCCCCTAATCCTTTAAGAGCCACCTCGAAAAGCCATTTCTTCTGTGTAGTGTTTAGTTACTCCTCCCTGAGAACTTTCTGTTCCCAGCACTTAAATGGTAGCAGTGATAATAAAAATAAAAAATAATAATATTAATATTACTGAGTGCTCACCAATACAGGCACTGTTCTACAGGCTGCATGCACTCTTTTGCCTAATCCTCTCAGCACTCATGTGGGACAGGAACTCATATGACCCTGTTTTACAGACTAGGACACTGAGGTTTAGTGGCATCATTCACTTGCCCAAGGAGACACAACAGCTAGAAATAAAGCAGGATGTGTATCCAGGAAGCTTGACAACAAGGCCTGCCTTCTTTCTTCTCATAGGCTGACTACGCTGGCTTTGAGCCTGTCTCCCCACTCTGACCACAGAGTCGCTGGGTGATTGGGGGTGTCTCAAGTGTCTAGCATAGCCTCTGCCCATGTGGGTGCTTGATGAATGTCTGTTGAACGAATAAACGAGCAAACAATTGCAGTCTCTCTTCAAGGAACCTAACCTACTTTATAGATGCACTAATTCTCTGTACAAGGTCAGGAGGAAAGTGGTAAAATATTTACCAGTTGCTGTCAACTTAATTCTGACTCACGGCAACCTCATGTGTGTGATAGTAGAACTGTGTGCTCCAGAGGGTTTTCAATGTCTGATTTTTCACAAGTAAATTGCCAGACCTTTTCTCCAAGGCACCTCTCGGTGGACTTGAAACTCCAACCATTCAATTAGCAGCCAAGTGTATTAACTGTTTCCACCACCCAGGGACTCTGGTAAAATATTTGGAAGGGTTTAAAGCTACTTAGAGGTCCCCATGTGGTTGAAAAGTTAACATGCTCAGCTGCTAATGAAAAGGTTGGAGACTGTAGACTCAGCGGTGTCTCAGAAGAAAAGCCTGGTGATCTACTTCC